TGACCTCACAAGATACTCTAGCAACAGACGTTGGAGGCCATGGTCTTTAGCCTCCTTGTTAGAGCAACCGACTCTCATGCAATGAATCGGCAGTTTGATCCCAGCTCAGACCGGGTTGGGTGCAGTAGGAGTGGTGGGCTACATGTGGGGGCTCGTCCGGGATGAGAATGAGGATTAGGGGGGTGAGTGTATTGGAGGCTAGTTAGTGAAGTGCTATCCAGGTAAACCTCCCTCCCCTGACCTCAAAAAAAAGGTGCTCTGGCAACAGACCTTTGAGGCCATGGTCTTTAGCCTCCTTGGTAGAGCAATCGACTCTCATGCAATGAATCGCCGGATCCTATCCCAGCTCAGACCAGGTTGGGTGCAGAAGGACCAGTGGATTACATGTGGGGGCTCGTCCGGGATGGGAGTGAGGTTTAGGGGGGGTGAGTGTATTGGAGGCCAGTTAGCGAAGTGCTATCCAGGTAAACTTCCCTCCCCTGACCTCACAAGATACTCTAGCAACAGACGTTGGAGGCCATGGTCTTTAGCCTCCTAGGTAGAGCAATCGACTCTCATGCAATGAATCGCCGGTTCTATCCCAGCTCAGACCAGGTTGGGTGCAGAAGGACCAGTGGATTACATGTGGGGGCTCGTCCGGGATGGGAGTGAGGTTTAGGGGGGGTGAGTGTATTGGAGGCCAGTTAGCGAAGTGCTATGCAGGTAAACCTCTCTTCCCTGACCTCACAAGATACTCTAGCGACAGACGGTAGAGGCCATGGTCAGGTAGAGCAATCGACTCTCAAGCAATGAATCGGCGGTTCGATCCCAGCTCAGACCGGGTTGGGTGCAGTAGGAGTGGTGGGCTACATGTGGGGGCTCGTCCGGGATGAGAATGAGGATTAGGGGGGTGAGTGTATTGGAGGCTAGTTAGTGAAGTGCTATCCAGGTAAACCTCCCTCCCCTGACCTCAAAAAAAAGGTGCTCTGGCAACAGACCTTCGAGGCCATAGTCTTTAGCCTCCTTGGTAGAGCAATCGACTCTCATGCAATGAATCGCCGGTTCTATCCCAGCTCAGACCAGGTTGGGTGCAGAAGGACCGGTGGATTACATGTGGGGGCTCGTCCGGGATGAGAGTGAGGATTAGGGGGGTGAGTGTATTGGAGGCCAGTTAGCGAAGTGATATGCAGGTAAACCTCTCTTCCCTGACCTCACAAGATACTCTAGCAACAAATGCTAGAGGCGATGGTCTTTAGCCTCCTTGGTAGAGCAATCGACTTTCAAGCAATGAATCGCCGGTTCTATCCCAGCTCAGACCGGGTTGGGTGCAGAAGGACCGGTGGATTACATGTGGAGGCTCAGCCGGGGGTGAGAGTGAGGTTTAGGGCAATATTATGATAGTTTTGTATTTTTTTTCATTAGTTTTAGTTTTTATTTTGTTTTGACCTTTTGTTTTTAAATTCAGTTAGTTTAATTAGTTTTTTTGGGGGCAGATTTACTAGTTTTTATTAGTTTCTATATTAATATGTAGGTATCACAAGCGTTTCTACACTGTTCTAAGCGTTTGTGTGTCAAGAACGGGGGCTATGGCATCTCTTTGGGAGAACATAACAGGTTGCAAAACCGGGCAAATTTTCACTACCCGCCTATGTCATTTTTTACCTGCAAAAATAAACTCATAAATCTGGCAACACTGAATGTGTTAAATGAATACTGTTAAGTGTCTGCTCGGGTCGTATTTAATGCTGTCACCGTGTTGCTGTCATGTCCAGTTGTTATTGGACTGACCGGAGGAGGGCCAGCTTGATCTGGCTAATGGCAGCAGGATTCCGAGGGGCCGTACGGCTCAAACACCCGGCGTAAATCTGGCATCACGAAGTAAATAAATTGACTTCTAAAAGGCTTATGTATTAAATACATTTACAAAGAATAAAACGAAGGATGTTTTGCTATAATTTTAGTTTGTTTCAGTTAGTTTTATATGTACACAATGCAGTTTTAGTTAGTTCTAGTCTTTTAAAAATGAGTTCTAGTCTCTCGCTTTTATTTTATTCCAGTTAACCAAAATGATTTTCATTTCTAGTTTTCGTTCGGCTTCGTTAACTATTATAACCTTGAGTTAGGAGGTGAGTGTATTGGAGGCCAGCTAGCGAAGTGCTATGCAGGTAAACCTCACTCCTCTGACCTGTAGAGGTGGTCCAGCGACAGATGTTAGAGGGCTTTAGCCTCCTTGTTAGAGCAAGCGACTCCTATGCAAAGAATTGCCTGTTTGATCCCAGCTCAGACCGGGTTGGGTACAGTAAAGCCTGGTTTATACTTCTGCGTCAAGTGACCGGCGTAACCCACGGCGCATGCAACGCGCGTAGCTGTGCATTTATACTTCTGCGCGCTGTCTCTGTTGGTCTGCATTAACACTTCCGAAACGCTAGTTGGCAGTGAGGTGTTAATGTTCCTCTTTGTGGAGTTTCTTCGGTGCTGTTTTGCGTTTCCTGAACACTTCCGGGATGTACAAGTGACTCAATCTCGCTCATTTTGAGGCAGGAACCGGCGGACATGCAACAACTTTAACTATGAGGTAAACACAAAACAAAACTTTCCATCCGGAGCTCCTTCACGCGACTCCACACTTGTAAACAATCGCTCCATCGGGCTTGCATCATTTGCGCGGCTCTCGGTCCCGCCCAGACTCGTCAGCGCTACCAAGCCGACCAATCACAGAGCTTGCGCTACGCGTCGTTGCGACGTGTAGTTACATTTTTTGAGAGGTGCACGTCAGCGATGCGATGTTTGACGCAGAAGTATAAATCAGCCTTAAGACTGGTGGATTACACATGGGGGCTCGTCCGGGATGGAAATGAGGTTTAGGGGGGGTGAGTTTAACTCAATGTAACTCAATCAATGAAGGTTGCAAAGTGTCATTGTCCAACCACTGTACATGCATGTATACATTGCAAAAAAGTTCATATTTATATATATAAAGATTTCTATATAATATAAATGAATATAAATATGTGAATAATGTTTAAATATGGACGGAAATCAAAACCTTGTTTCCCAATATTTTCAGATTAGCATAGATGTAGACTTAACGAGTGGCAGCATGAGAGTTTTCGTTTTCAAGTGGGCGTACTAAATTGTCACAGTGACAAATTATCACAATTTTATTAACAGCTTATCAGTGTACCGAGCTGTAATTGTTCTATTTATGAAAGCAGGACAGCATTTTCTGTAAAAAGCCCCTGTTGAAAGCTGCATCACATTAAAAGGATGCTGAACAATACTGTTTTATAGCCACCGTAGCAGAATATGGCATGGAGCAGGAGGAAAGAGCATTTATTTATATTGATTTAATTCTTTATTTACCAGTTTCACATATCCTTTAGAGTCCAGCATGAGGTTTTCTGGTTTCAGGTCTCGGTACAGGATCCCTTTGTTATGGAGGTATGCATAGGCTTCCACCACACACGCTGTTATGAACACGGCTATTTTCTCCTCAAAGCGTCCTCTGCAACATGACAAAACAAAACCCCATATTCACACTTTCACCAGCGCTAATTAGAGAACAAAGAGTTTGCTTCATTCGGACTGAAACTGCATTCTGATTAATGATCAGCTGTATTCATGCTTCAAACCAAATGAGGGGGAAAACAGAGCCAGTGTGTGGTTATTTGTGAGTGGCTGTCGGTGCATTTTAATGCCAGGGTTTTTCTGCTGATTTCTGTAATAGGGATGGCAAAACTCTTTAATAACTCACGCTTCTTTCAGTTTAGTCCAGATTTCCCCACCAGGACAAAACTCCATTATCATGTAGACGTAGCGTGAGTCTTTGAAGGCAGCATGCAGCCTGTGCCAGAGGAGAAAATCAGACACTAGATTACACCAATCCGCCAACAGCTGGAACTCTAGACTAAATACGACTTATTACACAGACCTGACAATGAAATCGCATCGGATAGCCTGGAGAATTTTCTTTTCCAGCAGAATGTGAGCCTCCTGCTTCTTCGCAACAACATGCTGTTTACTGATCCTCTTCATCGCAAAGTACTTTCTGTGCTCCAGGGTGGTTACCTGGTAAATGACAAGCTAATGTATTAATAACAACTCACATTTATATTCAGTATCTGACAAAAAAAGGTCTCAGGATTGCTAATGGGCTCTGTTTTAGTGAAGTTTTATGAACTAAAGCTGCGGTCACACTCAGAGCGATACTAGGACGAGTAAAGAGGATGAGTGGAGGAGGCTCGTTCTTTATCCTCGCGCTGCAGATGCTCTGTTTATCTGTGTTCTCGCTAGTGAAGCGTTCAGTTTTTTACACAAAGTCCGTCATGTAAATAGCAAATGCATCATGGAGTGACACAACTGACTCTTAAAGGAAATGAGAGACAAGACTCTGGTTGGTTTAATGCAGGTGATGCTTATCTGTCCTTTAAATAGCAGAAGTGGATTTAGACATGCCCTTAATGCTTTTGCGCCATGAGCTTTAGACTTTGCGCCTAGATCATTAAAATATAGCCCCTTGGTGTGCATGGCACACGGCCAAAAAGGTTGTCCTTATTCTCTTAATGAATTATGGGTGTTGACCAATTTACTGTTCACATGGTGGATTTTGCAAGCTGAAAAAAAGCTGGTGAAGAAACATGAGGTTAACGACCGTCAGCGCCCTGAGGTGTAGAAGGCATTGAAGGAAGCAGTTATTTTTAATATTTATGTATTTTCATATTTTAAAATGTTCATGTTCTGCTGTGCATCCCTGTGTGTGTAATAAGCAATGTATGTTGTATGTTGTGGATCTGCCTATAGGTGTATATCACTACCCCCCCCCTCGAAATGCCAACAATGCACCTTCTTTTCAGGTCAGCATACACACGGGTGATCAAATGAGGCTTTTGCTATTTAATCAACCCGGCGCAGGGTGTGAAATGATACCTGTGTCATGCTGAATTAGCAAAAAAAAAAAAAAGACTTGCACCCTGCCTGACGCCACATTTGGCAGAGTGTATGATCATTAAATTCTTCCTCATTCGCTAAGTATTTGTCTCTCCTACTTAGGGTGACCAAACCCTTAATACATTTATACAAACAAAGCTGCTTTAAAAACGGTCTGTCCCTCGAGCATCCGCCTGTTGTTTGTAGCTTTAGCCTGCTAGCGCCGCTGGTCAGCTAAAGCTACCGACCTCTTTAACCATACACTTTTGACTTACTGGCTTTGCTCTTTACCCCGTAAAATGTCGCTTCCGTCTCTGTCCTTGTGTGCAGGAGAAGCATCGATGGAGGCGTTGGAGCTGGAGCTGGAAGAAGTGGAGTCCCAGATCCGCGCGCTGGTGGTAAGACGGTCGCGGCTACGGGAACGGCTTCTAGCCGTACCTAATGCTAAGGCCGTCTCATCACCTAAGGTACGTGGAAATTACAACCACATCATTCCCTCTACCTCAACCCCGCGTCCTTCTCTGTCCAGGCCCAGCGCACCCGGGGCGCGGCTCAGCCAGGCGTCGTTCACGCCGACACCCGGCTACCACGGCGCCTGGGTGCAGCCGCGCAAGGTGCTTCCCAGATCCCGGGGCAGAACGTCTCCGCCTGTGTTCGAGATCTCCACGGAGAACCGCTTCTCCCCTCTCCGCGAGTCGGGTCCCGATGTGGCCATCATCGGTGACTCGATCGTTCGTCACGTCCGTGCCGCCTCCTCAAAAGGTAATAAAGTACGTACTTTCTGCTTTCCTGGTGCCCGTGTGAAAAATATTTCTACACAGATTCCAACCATCCTGGGCGCTGCCGAGAGCCCTGGTGCCGTTGTCCTCCACGTGGGGACAAACGACACCGGGCTCCGGCAGTCGGAGATCCTGAAGAAGGACTTCAGGAGCCTGATCGAGACGGTTCGACGCACCTCGCCCGCCACGCAGATCATCGTTTCTGGGCCGCTTCCTACCTACCGCCGAGGAAATGAAAGGTTCAGTAGACTTTTAGCTTTGAATGAATGGCTAATAACATGGTGTAAAGAACAGAAATTGCTCTTTGCTAATAACTGGAATCTTTTCTGGGAGCGTCCTAGGCTCTTCCGTCCTGACGGCCTGCACCCCAGTCGAGCCGGAGCTGAACTCCTGTCGGACAACATCTCCAGACTACTTCGCACCATCTGACTAGCAGGTAAAAATTCACAAAATTCACACTATAGCCACCTAGACTCTTGTTCACCCCACTTAAACATCAGTAACGCATGTCTGGCGAATCCTATAGAGACTGTGTCTGTTCCTCGTATTATTAGATTAAGAAATAAACGTACTGTGTGCTCCAGGAAAAATCTAGTAAGAATCAAACCAGAAAAACCAGTAGAAAGTGAAAATACAAATTTCGTAAAACTTGGTCTCCTAAACATCAGGTCACTTGCACCTAAAGCACTTATCATTAATGAAATAATAACAGAAAACAATCTTAATGCACTCTGTCTCACTGAAACCTGGCTGAAACAAAATGACTATATTAGCTTAAATGAAGCAACTCCTCCAGGATTCTTATATAAACATGAGGCTCGTCAAACTGGTCGTGGTGGTGGAGTTGCATCAATCTTTAGTGATTTCCTTAATATTAAACAGAGAAACGGACTTATGTTTAGCTCCTTTGAAGTATTATCGCTTAATGTTCAGCTTCCAGATACTATACAAAAACCTATGTTATCTCTCGCCTTAATCACCATATATAGACCCCCAGGACCCTATGTCAAATTTCTAAAAGAATTTTCTGATTTTATTTCTGACTTACTAGTCAAAACTGATAAAATGCTAATTGTAGGTGACTTTAACATCCACATAGATGACGCTAATGATACATTAGGGCTCGCGTTTATGGATTTAATACACTCACTTGGGATAAAGCAAAACGTTGTGGGTCCAACCCATCGCTTAAAGCATACATTAGATCTAATTCTGTCTTATGGAATCGAGGTTATTGACGTAGACATTATACCACAAAGTGATGATATTACAGATCACTACCTCTTACTATATAAGCTATGTTTACCTGAAATCAGCAAACCCGCTCCAATACTCCGCCCTAGTAGAACTATTGTTCCGTCAACTAAAGATGAATTTATAAATAACTTACCTGATCTCTCTCTATTTCGTAATGCACCCGCAAACTCAAATGATCTTGATGTAGTAACCAGCAGTATGGATGCCATCTTTACTAGCACACTAAATACTGTGGCACCCATAAAATTAAAAAAGGCTAGAGAGATTAAAACTATACCATGGTATAATAGTCATACTCGTGCGCTCAAAACAGCAACCCGCGCCCTGGAACGTAAATGGAAAAAAACTAATTTAGAGGTCTTTAGAATTGCGTACAAAGACAGTATGTCCAGCTATAGGAGGGCTCTAACATCTGCCAGGACCGAGCACCTGCGCAAACTGATAGAAAATAATCATAACAATCCTAGATTTTTATTTAACACCATCTCTAAATTAGCAAATAATCGGTCATCCTTGGAACAAACTACTCCACCGCAAATTAGTAGTGATGACTTCATGAATTTTTTCAGTAATAAAATAGAAGGCTTTAGACAGAAAATAGGAGATGCCAAACTTTCTGCACCGGCTTATACTCCAAATCCTGTAAATATTTCATTAAATCATAATAATAACCTACACTGCTTCAAAATCATAGAACATGAAGAGTTAGTGAAAATTATAAATAGCTCTAAACCAGCTACGTGTATGCTGGACTCAATTCCAACAAAATTACTGAAAGAGCTGCTACCTGCTATAGGAGAACCTCTTCTTAACATTATCAACTCTTCTTTATCTATAGGCCATGTTCCAAACTCTTACAAGCTAGCTGTTATTAAGCCTATTATTAAGAAACCGCAACTAGACACCAACAACTTAGCTAACTATAGGCCTATTTCAAATCTTCCATTTATGTCTAAAATACTAGAAAAAGTTGTTTCCACTCAATTATGCTCTTTTCTGCAGACGAACAATATTTTTGAAGTGTTTCAGTCAGGTTTCAGGGCTCACCACAGTACAGAAACCGCCTTAGTGAAAATAACCAACGATTTACTCTTAGCTGCTGACCGAGGGTGCGTCTCGCTATTAGTTTTACTCGATCTTAGTGCGGCATTTGATACCATTGACCACAATATCCTCATAAATCGCTTAAAGTCTACAGGTGTCCAGGGACAGGCTCTACAATGGTTTAAGTCATACTTAACTGACCGCTACCAGTTTGTAAATCTTAATGGACAGCCTTCACAAATCTGCCCAGTAAAGTATGGGATGCCTCAAGGATCAGTTTTAGGCCCTTTACTGTTTACAATTTACATGCTACCTATGGGAGACATTATTAGAAGACATGGGATCAGCTTTCACTGCTATGCAGATGATACTCAATTATATATTTCCACTAAACCTGACGAGACGTCTGAACTTTCTAAACTAACTGAGTGTATCAAAGACATCAAAGACTGGATGACCAACAATTTTCTTCTCTTAAACTCAGACAAAACAGAATTATTACTTATTGGGCCTAAATCTTGCACACAGCAGATCTCGCAACTCAATTTACAATTAGAGGGATACAAAGTTAGCTTTAGCTCTACTATAAAAGATCTGGGTGTCATATTTGACAGCAATCTAACTTTTAAAAACCATATATCCCATGTCACTAAAACTGCCTTCTTTCATCTGAGAAATATCGCTAAATTACGAAATATGCTATCCATCTCAGATGCAGAAAAGCTAGTCCATGCTTTTATGACTTCGAGACTGGATTACTGTAATGCTCTATTTGCTGGCTGCCCAGCATCCTCTATTAACAAACTTCAATTAGTGCAAAATGCAGCAGCCAGAGTTCTGACCAGGTCTAGAAAATATGATCATATAACCCCAATTTTATCCTCCTTACACTGGCTGCCTGTTAAATTTCGTATTGAATTTAAAATATTACTTCTCACCTATAAAGCTCTAAATAATCTAGCTCCTGTTTATCTAACCAACCTTCTGTCTCGCTACGAACCAACTCGCTCCTTAAGATCTCAAAATTCAGGGCTTCTGGTAGTACCTAGAATAGCAAAATCAAGTAAAGGAGGTCGAGCCTTCTCTTTCATGGCTCCTACACTCTGGAATAGCCTTCCTGGTAATGTCCGAGGCTCAGACACACTCTCCCAGTTCAAAACTAGATTAAAGACCGATCTGTTTAGTAAAGCATACACTCAGTGCATCACCTAGCAGGTTCCACACTGGCTTCTACATCTTGCTTATATACACTATGAACAGCAGCTACGCTAATTATTCTCTTTATTCTCTATTTTCACCTGGGGATACTCATCCCGAGGTCCTCAGATTAGGCGGAGTCACTGATTGGATCCAAGACCAGCGACGTGATGATCCCAAGGATTCCATATCCGGGACCAGGCCATATCCTGAGCTGCTGCTGCGCTGATGGTCGTGGGGAGTGGAGAACATGAGTCTGATTCCAGCGACGCTCCAGGGACAGACGAGTCTTCATTGAGGCCATCTTCCAGCATAAACCACGGCGAAGGAAGTTCTTCACAAGATTTTTGGCCAGCGGAGAAATTAAAATGGTCGTGCCCAACTGAGTCTGGTTCTCTCAAGGTTTTTTTTCTTCACTCCCATCAGGTGAAGTTTTTTTTCCCTCTCCGCTGTCGCCACTGCCTCGCATGGTTCAGGGTTGGTAGAGCTACACATCGATGAATTTGCTCTTCAGTGTTTGAACTCTCAGTAATGATTAAATCACACTGAACAGAGCTAAACTGAACTGAACTGAACTTAAACACTAAAACCTGAACCACACTGTTCCAATTACTATGACCATTTATGTGAAGCTGCTTTGACACAATCTACATTGTAAAAGCGCTATACAAATAAAGCTGAATTGAATTGAATTGAATATGATAGGGCCTAAAGCCTCCAGTCTGAGCTCCTCTGTCATACCAGCTCCACTTTTCCAAAACCGCCGATTCCAAGAGTGACGGGATCTCCTTGATAACTTCCCTCCTGGTACAGAACGGGGACGAGATCTTTCAGCTTTAGAGATGTTTCCGGCCTGGAGACAGCACAAATCATTATAGAAAACGAACATTCGAACAATCAAACTATAGTTTCAGTGCTATTGGTTAAATCCTAGATTCATACAAACCAATGAAGGAGTTTAAAGGAAATTAAATATAAATATACAGATAAGATGATTATGACAGTACTTAACCCTCTCAAAGCAGGCGTTGCTGATTTGCAACAGTTAAAAGCATAGATTTTGCCTGTTTGACTTCAATAGTAGAAAAAACAAACACTATGGAAGTCAATGGTTACAGCTTTCTTCAAAATATTTTCTTTAGTGTTCAACAGAA